GGGGGAGGGAGGAGAGAGAGAGAGAGAGAGGATGAGAGGAATAATCCTGATAATCTTCTTCGTTAAAGACATTTCTCTTGTACGAAAAACCTCGCGCAAAACAACGCGCGTCATTTCGATCAGATCCTATTTTTATTTGGCAATCATTGCTCAATTATGTTGACAGCAATGATCGAGCCAATATCGAACAATTATCTCCTTTCCGTTATCGAAAAACAGCATCCTCAGCTGCGGATTCGGTTTGAGATTGTAAAGACCAATTTCGATCGCTACTAGAAGCATCTTAGAGAAATGTCTGTCCTCTATTCATCCAAGAGTCAAGTGCGACATGTCTCTTACGCTCGTGCACGTGTGTGTGTGTGTGTGTGTGTGTGTGTGTGTCGATATATGCATGTGTGTTAAGTATGTATGCGTGCAATTTCAACCCTTTACAAATAGCCCTCTCTTTCTCTCTCCCCCCTTCCCCTCCTTTCTTCCATTGTACATAATACTTCGGCCCACCTCCCCCTCATCTCGCGCACGAGTAGGCTCTAAGTGACACTCGAGAGAACGAAAATAATTCTTGCCAAATTCTCGATGGGATGTGAAGGGACAAACGACTAATTGCATTTAAAAAGAAAATCGCAGGAAATATATTGGTATTATAAACGTATCTCGTATCTCGTTATCTCTTCGTTATTTCGCTCACCCGCGGTCTTAGCTGTACAAGATACCTCGGCACGGATCGAGAGAAACACTGGACTGGACGTGGACTGTTCCAGAAAGGTTTAAAATTATCGATTATAATTCGTTACGTTAAGTTTATCCGAAGTGCTTCGCGATGAGCACGCGGAGAAAAGGCGCTCGATCTTCTTCTGGTTCTTTGTAAACGCGACGGGATACAAATTTTTTCTTCCGAGGAGTTTTCGATTAAAGATTTCATTGTAATCGAACGGGAACGATGTAGAGCAAAGCAGAGCAGAGCAGAGCAGAGCCGCACGCCCGTGTGCAAAATTATCACAGCTCGTTGGTGCGCTAAGATCTAAATATCGTTGCTATAAATATACGGATACGTAAAACGTGAACTTTTCGTGAAATGTCCTACCCAAAAGTCGTCAAGTGTCGTTACGCAAGTCGTTATATTTAATATTAATTTGGAATGTCTTGTATGTCGCAACTAAACCCACCTCCGCTTACGCGGATACACGAGTTTACGTGTATATCTTGTATACAGTAGAACGTACTTGGCGCGTGTGTTATAGTTTTCCACTGTGCATTTTGACACTAACATCAATTCCGGCGTCGATGTTGTATCGTTACGTCAGTAATAA